TTCCCTGTAAGATTTTATTTGCAGAAAGGGTTTCGGTGATTAAACAAAGCAAAGTGAAGAAGCCACTACTCTGAGTTTTTGCAGGGAAGGACTCTGGCTGTCGCTAAGTCCTCTGCAGATATTTGCTGAATGAAGGAACGGTGAGTGAAGTCTTCCTGGGTTGTTGCTTGAGTCTAGGTCTGAGCCACCCCCACAGGCTTTTTTTCACTGTGTGTGTGTGTGTGTGTGTGTGTGTGTGTGTGTGTGTGTGTGTCTGTGTGTGCATGTGCGGTGGGGGGTGGGCGGCAGAGACCCAGCCTTTCAAGGAGGTGGGCAATGGGCGCCACCGAGGTGCCGGTCACCAAGGTGAGAAGGCTGGAGGCAGCGTGGGTGTTTATCCAGCCTTGGCTCAGAGGGGTGTCCTCTGCCGGGAGGACTCTTGGCGTCTCTGGAGGTGACCGGCTGGCCGCTAGAGAGCACTGCATCCCTGCCTTTCCTGACGGACAATCGAGGGTCTGAGCTAGCCCCTCAGGCTCAGCATTCCCAGGGCTCCGCCCCCCACGGGAACCTGGGCTTGAGCCGCCAGGAGAGTCCCCAACCCCGGGCTGAGGCATCCTGTAGCCTCCCTCTTCTCTGTCTCCCGTCACTCTCTGATGCTGCGGACCATGCCTTGGCTTCCCCCTCTGGGCAGGCGAGAGGGAAAGGGAACCAGGGACCAAAGGTGGTCAGGGCGTCTGTTTGATGCTGGCGCCCATCTGGGGCTGGGTTTTCTGTTTTTCTATCTGCGGACACTAGTGTCAGGCTCAGGGCATGGCAAGGCCTTGCAAACATGCATCTTTAACCGCAGAGTACTTGTGCTGAAAGCACTCACTGAGATGGTCCCTGCCCTGTGGTTCTCAGACTGCAGAGCCCCAGGGTTTGGTGAAGGGGCTTTCAGGTGAGGTTTGAGGAGGAAGCCCCCACGTCGGCCTCAAGCACAGTTTTATCTACTTTAGATTTGACAGACCTGGTTGATTTTGCAGCTGAAAAAATAAAGATGTGATTTTTTCCAAATTTCCCATTTTGTGATGCAGAGCTAGAGGCCTAGAGGAGAGAATCAGCTTCTTCAGTCACAAAGAGAGTCAACAGCTAATAATTATAACTGCATTTACTGAGGACTTACTGTGTGATAGGCACATGATACATATATAATCTCCTTCCCTGGAGCAAACCACCAAGTAGGAATGATTATTGCCCCCATTTGACAGGTGAGGAAACTGAGGCACCGTGAGGTGAGATAACCACGGAGCTAGGAGATGACGAGCAGGAACTTGAACTTGGCTTGCCCTCGTGAAGGCCGCTCCCTTCACCCTGGGCTGCTGCCCTGGACGCAGGCTTCCTTGATGGGTGGCGCACAAAGGGGTCTCCACTCCTGCCTTACTGGGTCCGCTCCTCCATCTGGACCTGGCGTCTTCAACACAGCTCTGGACAGCTGGCTCGAGCCAGCCTCTTGGCTTTGGCAGGTAAGGCAGGGATGGATGGAGATCCAGGGTACATGTCTGCCTTCACGTCTGGGGCTCCAGAATAAAGCAACAGCCCACTGAAGGCTGAACAAATAGAGGACCGAGCAAGGCCTTTGAAATGGAGACAGCTGGGGTGGGGGTGTGGGGTAGGGATGGAGGAACACCACACTGATTCACACTTTCTCTGGCAGAGCATGTGTGTGCCCTTGGAGGTATCACTTAACCTCCAGGAACCTTATCTGTCAAATGGGCCTGCGTGTCCTGGCCCCACCACTTCTGAAGGCTAAAGGGAGGCTCTATGAAGGGAACAGTCATGGAAACACCTTTCTGACTGTAAAGTGCCACGTGCCTGAGAGGGATGGGTGTTTCGGTAGGGGCGTGGGTAACCGAGTCGGGAAGGTGTGATGCTGCCCCCTTTCACGTTATGTGGAACAAGGCAAAGCAAACTTGGGGCTTCCCAGGTGGCTTGGTGATAAAGAACCCACCTGCGATGCAGGAGATGTGAGTTCGATCCCTGGGTCGGGGAAGATCTCCTGGAGAAGGAGATGACAACCCACTTTTGCTTGGGAAATCCCATGGACAGAGAAGCCTGGCAGTCTACAGTCCACGGGGCTGCAGAAAGAGTCACAGCGAGCAACTAAACAACAGCAACAAGGTAAGCATGCAGACAGATGGCTTCTCTTGTCTTTCCCCCGCTGTGCGTGCAGGGGTTCGCCAGCCCTCTCTGCCTCTCCGTGAATCTTCTGAACAGTGGGACTGTGGTAGCTGCTCGGTATGGACACTGCTTTGTTACTCGGCAATAAGGAAGGAGCCGGGGGGGTCCCAGCCCCGCATGCGGTCGCCACTATGGGGTGTCCCCTAATGGGGACCTGGAGTCACAGGTGGGACAAGTGGCTTCTCTTGGCTCCGTCACTATAGCCTGTGACCTTGGCAAGTCACTCATACTCTTTCTGCGAGCAGTTACACAGGGATGTACTGTCTCCTCTTTCTGTCTCAAAAGGTGTTTATTTTGAGAAGCAAGGTCAATAAAAGATGTGAGGATGCTTTTGGGCGGTGGGGGAGCAGAGAAAGCCTGATACAAGACTAAGAGCTTCTTTTAACCATCATCCTACTTCTGAGCTTTTGTTTTCTCTTCCAACGCTTGGCCTGGTGCGAACCTCAGAGCAGACGCTCAGCAAAGCCTTAATGAATGGAGACAGGCAGCTTGTAGAGCGAAGCAAAGGAGGCCAGAGACCTGCGGATTCTTCCACTGACAAGCTGGGAAATTTGGAGCAAGTTCCTGACCCTCTCTGGGCTTCTGTTTCCCGGTCTGTAAACAAGGAGACTGGACTGGGTCCTCTCTATGGATCCTTCGGGCTCTGGCGGCTCTAAAGTGGGAATGAGTGAAGTGCTACTGTTTCTTCGAGTTAAGTCATCTCTCAAGTGTTTGGTGCACATTCATGCCCAGCCTGGCACTGGAAGCCTGATGTCACCTTGTTTTCTTAACGGTCCTGTGAGGCACACAGGCAGCTAGTGAGCCACATGCCCCATTTTATAGCTGAGATCATGGAAGTTCAGAGAGGGGATATGACGTGACCAAAGTCACCCCGCGAGCCAATAGCAGGACGGGGATTCAAACTCAGGCCTGAATCCAAATGCCATGCCTATTCCATCTGCATCCCGGGTTGTCAGTCTCCTTCCTCCCATCTCCCTGGGGTGTCTGGCCTGGGGAGGCCAGCCTCTCTTTGACACAGTTTGAGGCTGGACTGGCCCCTCTCAGGCAGCCCCTTTATGCCTCTAGCACTAAAGCCATGCAGTGTCCTAGATTTAAGGGGCAAGTAAGGCTGAGGATGCACTTTTGCTATTGGTGGGACTCTTCGCAGGGCATCTGGTTGAGCCAGCTGACACTCATCGGGGGACCAAGATGTGTTCCCCTGCCCTGCCCTCATCACGCTCCGTGACCTTGGCATGGTTGAACCTTTCGCTGGTCAGGCTGGCTCTACTGCTAAAGGCGTCTCCGGGGGTAGGGCAGGTGTTGTTGACTCTGAGTGAGGATAACGAGCCGTCCTCACGTACCTTGCCCCCCTCGGAGTTACCATCTGCTCGGCAGGCCTCCGAGGCCTCTGGGGGCTGCCCCCGCCCCCACCCCCCACCCGTCTCCTTCCCAGGATCCAGGACCCGCTCCTTGGCCCTGAAGCCGCAGTCTCTCCCCAGGGCTTGTGGCTGTTGCTGGAAGGGAGGTCCCCGAGGGCAGAGGGCTGGAGGCCTGGGACGCCCCTAGCGGAGGCAGCGGACGCCAAGGGCCGGGCATCCCGGGCGAGCCCGGCGTAATGAGGCGCTCCCCTCTCCTCGGGGAGGCGGGGCCGCCTCCTCCCACCCCCCTCGCCTCCACCCCGAGGCCCCGCGGCGGGCCCAGTCCAGAGCCCCGGCGGGGAGTGGGGCCTTCCAGGGCGAGTGCGAGGCCCAAGGGGCCGGGCCCCGAGAGTCTAAAGTGGGCGCGCGGTGATGGGGGTAAGGGGCTCCCCGGTTGGCGCCGGCGGGGGAGATGGGTCCACAGGTCCCGGGTGCCTTCTGACTTCTGCCCCCGCCTCTGGCCTCCAGGGAGACCGGCATCCATCTGTCCTTCCCCGTGTGCGCGTCGTGGGTCCCCCGCCCCGCCGCTCCCGGAACCCCCCGGAACCCCCCCGCTGCTCCTCTCCCCGGCCCCCGGCGGGAGGCAGAGCCGGGGGGCTGGTCCCGCGCTCAGCCGCCGCGCACCGGCTCGGGAGGCGGGGGCAGGAAGCTAGCCGCGGCCCCGTGACGTCGCCCGGCTTCCAGGGATCGCTCCCCGCGGCCCGGGTCCGCTCCTCCCCGTGCTCCCCCCGGGCCTCGCCTCCGCGCCGTGGCCGGCATATCTCGCTCGCGGGCTGGCTCCGGGTCCCAGCCGCCTCCTGCTCCCTCTTCCTCTCCTCCTTCCCTTTCTCTCCCTCGCGATCCTCCTCTCCTGTCGCCCCCCGGCCTCTCCGATCCGAGCTGGACATTCCCTCCGCCCCTGCTTCGCCGCCTCTCTCTTTTCCTTCCTCTCCCTGTTTCTTTCGGTCAATCCCCCTGCCTCCCATTCTCTCTCCGTCTCTGCTTCTCCCCGCGTCTCCCTCCGGGTTTCTCGCTCCCCCCTCCCTCCGGGCATCCTCTCCCGCCCCCCGCTCCCCGCTCCCCGTGCCCTCCCTCCTCGTTCGCTCCCCTCCCCCTCCGCCCCTCGCAGCCCCGCCGCTCGCAGCCCTGCCGCTCGCAGCTCCCCAGTCAGCCTCCCCGAACCGGCGCCGCCGCCGCCGCAGGACCGGCCCTCCTGGCTCCCCGGGGTGCGCCCTCCACGGCCCCGCGCCCTTGGGGCTCGCCGGCAAAGCCTCCCCCCCGCCTCCGGCTCTCGGCCCCGCCCGGCCCGGCCCCAGCCCCGCGCCCGAGCGCGCCGAGGATGTGAGTCCCGCTCGCCTCTCCCGGAGAAGCAGTCCCCGGCACGCCGAGCCGGAGCGCAGCGCAGCGCAGCCGCGGGCGCTAGCTGACCCTGTCCGCCGCGGGCGGGGACGCGGGCGGAGGAGGTGCCGCCGCGGAGCCCCCGGACGCGAACATGTCGGAGGTGCTGCCCTACAGCGACGAGAAGCTGAGCCCCTACGGCGACGGCGGCGACGTGGGCCAGGTCTTCTCCTGCCGCCTGCAGGACACCAACAACTTCTTCGGCTCCGGGCAGAACAAGCGGCCGCCCAAGCTGGGCCAAATCGGTCGGAGCAAGCGGGGTGAGTTAGCGCCCCCCTCCCCGATACCCGTTTCTTGGGCACCCAGGCCTGGTGGCGGTTCGCTAGGGTCTCCGGCACCCGGGGGACCGTTCCGACCCACTAAAATCTCGTCGCGCGGAATTGCGGGGAGTGGGGGGTGGGGGACCCCGCACTGCGGGTTCAGCTCCAGATGGTCTTGGGAACCCCTCCCCCTCAGCCCGATCCGCGTTTGGGGTCACCCAGGGGGCGTGGCGGCCACTCGCTGCCGCAGGGGGCTGAAAGGTTTTCCCAGGTCCCTGCCCGTGCCAAAGTTTGCTTTCTGATTTCTATCCCTTGCCCCCTTTTGCGCCCCCTTTGCGCAATGTAATTGCAGCTGCACTCCGTCTACAACCCGTGTGTGTGTGTGTGTGTGTGTGTGTGTGTGTGTGTGTTGGGGGGGGTCCTAGGGTTCCCCAGGGGACAGCGTGGGGACTGCGGGGGGGAGGCCCGGTTCCTGTGGGGAATGCGAGGGGCTTTCTGATCGCAGGGGCTTTTCATTGTTACTTGGCAGAGGGAGGGGGTTTGCGGAGTCCGGGCACTAGGCGCGGGAGCTGGAAAAGCCCGGGAGAGACTTGGACTCGGCGAGGCTCCAAGAGGAGCTCCAGAGGCTCGGGGACCAAGAAGGAGACCAACAGTCGCCGGGAGAGACCGAGGCGCAGAGACTGGGAGGGAAGCCGCGGGCGGAGGCAGGGGGAGGCCGGGATGAGCAGAGCCCGAGACAAAGCTCGGGAGAGAGCTAGCTGGAGCCGGGGAGACTGCGAGCCGGGGACGCGAGTCTAGAGGGGACGCAGGAGTCGCTGAAACAATGAGGGCGACCGACACCCCGGACAGAGAGAGAAAGGCCCGGAGACCTCGACAGGTGACCATTGCTCTGGAGATGATGGAGAGACCGAGGATGGGCAGGCTAGGCAGAGGTGGAGAGAGAGGCGAATGCGGAGAGGCGGGCGAGCCCCCGGTCGGCAGCGAAGAGAGGCTCCGACCTCGGGAGAGGCGAGTGCGGAGAGGCCAAGTCCGCCCGCAGGCAGCGCGGAGGGACGGGGCGGCGAGGAGGGGGGGAGGCCCCGACCCCAACGAGGCCTGAACCCCCCGACGGGCTGCACGCTGTGTGACCGGCCCCCTGACGTCCCCGCTGGCTCGCGCATCTCTGAACCTCCCCTTCCCCCCTCCCCTCGCCTTGCCTGCCCCCTCGCAGCGCTCGGGGCACCCGGGAAGGGTCCCAGACCCCTCTCAGACCCCGGAGCCTTCTTTCGAAAGAGATGCGCCCTCCAGGATGAGTGGCGGTGGGGATGCCGCGGGGTGAGGACCAGGCCGGTGCGCGCCCGGGCTGCAGGCTGGGCTGCGGGTTTCGTGCCCTTTCGGCTTCCTGTTCTCAGAACCATGCTGGGACGCAGCCTCGGGGTGGCGGTGGGTCAGAGGAAAGCCGCAGAGGGACCCCTGGCTGAGACGAGGAGGATGGGGCTGTATCGCCGGGCCCCCCCTTTCCTTCCGCCTCTGCGCGTCAGAGACCCCNCCCCCCCCGCCAGGCCCAAATAAGAGCGCTCACTTCTGCTTTTCTACCCCCTTTTTTTTCAGTTGTTATTGAAGATGATAGGATTGATGACGTGCTGAAAAATATGACAGACAAGGCACCTCCTGGTGTCTAACTCCCCCAAAGACAATGAGTTAAGGGAGAGAATAAGAGCGAGACCGGCGGTTAACAGTTATTGGCAAAAAGAGCGTGAAAAGAGAAAGCACTTTGAAATTGATTACTAGCTTACTACCCGCGAGGAAATCAACAACCTGTATCCGTGTCAGGCCGGGAGACAGATGAGGCGTGAGAAGGAGAAGGCTCTGGGCTCCTTTGCAAAAATAAAAATGAAAAAAAAATTTTTAAAAATTAAAGAAATCACTATATACACACATGTAAAGAAATAAAAAGAAGTCTCAGTTGCAGCTATTTGTCAAAGTTAATATCCATTTCTTTTTATATACAGTGAATATTGCGCAATTATAGATCTGGATTTTGAACCACTTAAATAATGAAGCAACACCAGGTGTTTTGAGGTGTTGGCATTCTTCGCTGATTTGGCTGTTCCCAATGTTTACATTATTTAATCTTGCAAAAATGATTCTGTGCACTTGGATGTGAAATGCTGTCAAGTTATATTATTTTTATGTTGTTATCTTTGGATGTACAAAACAAATCAGAAAATGATCTCTATAGATATTCCATCCTATTTTGGTCATCTTTTGAAGTTATTAAGAGTGTGTTTAAAACAAGAAGAGAACTTTTCTAAGGAATCATGCATAGAAGGAATCCTTGCTTTATTTTAAAATGAATTGTAAAGCTTGTGTTTCTTTGTTGCTACAAGCTATTTGCCCAAGTTAATGCAAACGAACACATTTTATATGTCAGGAAAAAAAAAACATAAAAAAAGCAAAGAAAAAAAAATGCTTGAGCTTTTTCTAACCTCTCCCTGCAGTCTGTTGTGTGAGCAGCCTGTTTTTTTCTCTAATATTGTGTCAGTTTATTCTCTTTAATGGACTGTAAAAAAAAAAAATGTAATCACAAGAGTGCCAAATATCTTGAAATGCCAAAAGGCATTTTGGTTTCTTTTCTTTCCCCTGTGCTCTGAGTCCACGTAAAGGAATGCTTGGAGTGTCTTTTCCTGTTATTTATAGGGGTTCTCTTAAGGCACACCAGCTGCCTGTTTTGCATGGTATTTGCAAAAATGCCTCTCGCGTGAGGAAATCTTCTACCATTTTTTTGTTGTTCTTGTTGCAACTTTGGACCTCAAGAGGTTTCTTCCTTACCCTACCCTGTTTGTCCCCTCTTTTCTTAATTCGATATTCTGTATGTTGCACCTTTAACCAGCACACAGGGCTATTTCTCCAATGTACAATAAAAGAACTGTTCCTGTGTCTCACTGCTCTCTTTTCTCAGCTTTCGCTGGGAGGGAAAGGGGGACTTGCCTTTTGTCTCTGCTGGCTGAAGACAGGGAGGAGGGGACAGTAGCTTTGGTTGGAGAGGCAAAAAGTCGGTGTGGAGGCCACTGTGGGTTGGGCTCAGATGATAGAAAAGACAAGCTGGATTGGCAAGGCCATCCCCGAAGGGCAAGTGCATCCGATTTGGATTTGCACTGGGCTCTCCCTGCTTCCCTGAAGCTTCCCTGGTGGGGTGTGTTGGCTGGCAGGGAGTCAGTCTTGCGAAAGGCCAAGTTTGGAGGCTGGCAGACTTGGGTTCAAATCCCAGCTCCTTTACTTCCTGCCTCTAGGCATTTGAGAAGTCCCCTCAGTTTTGGTGGCTTAGACAGTAAAGAATCCGCCTGCAATGCAGGAGATCTGGGCTGGGTTTGATCGCTGGGTCGGGAAGATCCCCTGGAGAACGGAATGGCAACCCGCTCCAGTATTCCATGGAAAATCCCATGGAGCCTGGCAGGCTGCAGTCCATGGAGTTGCAAACTATCGGACACGACTGAGTGACTAACACACACTTCACTTCCTGAAGCCTCAGTTTTCAAATCTGTGAAATGGGGATAATGCGGCTCCCACCTCAAAGGTTGTTGGGAGGATGAACACAGCACCCAGCACACGGCAGCACTCAGCATGGGATGCCCAGACCCTCCATCATGGACCACCCCTCCTCAAAGGCAGGACTGAGGGGGAGCTGTTCTCTTTGCCCGGCACCTTCGTCTTCCCAAGTCCCCAGGTCCTTGTTGGAGGGAGGAGCCTGGTCCTCTGGGGCCCACAGCCCGATTCCATTGTCTCAGGCTTCCCAGACTCTGCGGCCCTCCTCCAACCACCGCTCAAAAAGTCTCCTTATGAAAAAAATTCTCAGCCCCTTGTTGGACTCAGGACAGTTAACGGCAGTGGAGCAGGCCCCCAGGGAAGGAGGGGTTCGGAGAAAGACTGGCTGAAGAAAGGCCGGGAGAGGTTTTTTTTTCCTCCTGGGCTGTTCGGCATCCAGGAGTTCCAGCGCCGGGAGCTTTTAATGTGTTTGTTGTAAAACTGTCAGCCGGGGAGTCACAACACAGCTCTTGGTGACAGGAGCCTGAGTGTGACTCAGACATCAGGTAAGACAGGCCTGGGGGGAGCGGAGAGGAAGAGGGGTTCCAGAGGGCCTGTGGGGAGTGGGGGGGTGGCTCATCCCGCTTCTCAGGAAGTGGAGGCCCAGAGCCTGGGGGAACCCAGCGGAGTCCCTCTCTGTCATCATCAGGAACGGCAGGCCAAGTGGAGCTGGCGGGGCCTTCAGGATGCCGGGAGGGGAGTGCCAGCTTGATCTTCCCAGGGGCGAGACTCTGTTCCCAAACCTGGCCCTTGTCCCTCCTGACCCCAGAGAATCCCAGTGCCCAGGGTCGATGACTTTTAGGCACCACGGAGCCCTGCTTTGGAGAGTGAGGGGCCGGGCCCACCCTCTGCGCAGCATCAATTTGCCAAGAGGGGTAGGAGCCAAAGGAAAAGATTCTTTCAGAAGGTAGGTCTCTGTCCGCACCCAGCAGTAATTACCACTTACGTGATCAAAGCACCGTGCAATTATGCAACGCCCTCCTTTCTGAGCCTCACAGAATCCAAGCCCAGCAGCCCTGGAAACCCACAGCCCTCCTGTCTCTTCAGTAGGTGAGGGACTTGACACCCCAGAGGGGCGAAAAGGACGGCACGACATCCGCACTCATTGAGCCCTTACTGTAGGCTGGGCTCACCACAGCTCCATGAACCATGTCCTGATGCGATAGGAGAAACCAGGGCTGGGAGACATTAGGTGACTTATAAGAGGTCACTCCCTGTGGCTCCGTGGGCAAAGACTGCCTGCAATGCAGGAGACACAGGAGATGTGTGTTCGATCCCTGGGTCGGGAAGATCCCGTAGAGAAGGAAATAATAACCCACTCCAGGATTCTTGCCTGGGAAATTCCATGGACAGAGGGGCCTGCTGGGCTACAGCCCAAAGGGCCGCAAAGAGTCAGACACGACGGAGTGACTGCACGCACAGACGCACGCACGAGGTAGCTCAGCTAGTAAATCGTTGAAGCACACTTGAAGGCAGAGTGCAGGCTCCAGGATGGGGATACCGAGTCATCTGACCCCGGGCTCAGTCCCAGCTGCAGCCATTGTCTTTCAGCCTTAAAGATCCTTTTGTTGGTTGATTTTTCTTAGCCTGGGTTCTCCCGCTATTCTCACAACAGATAACTGCATCAGGGGTCAGAGGGAGGCAGGGCTGGGATGTGGTCAGCTAAGATCTGAAGCTGCCCTCTGCTGGGAAGTGGGGAGCCTGTGAGCCTTCGGGCAAGGCTCTGGTCCTTCTTGATAAGTGATGTATCAAAATGTTCCTGCTGGAGGCCTTCCCCTTTGCCAAGGCAGGATTCTCAGGCTGGGAAGGCTGAATCTGCCCTTCCAGAGTGAAAGAAGGATATAAATCTTTTAAATACACTGGAACATTGGGGCCAACATTTGTCGAGAAGGCACTTTGGGGACTGGGCAGATGTTGAATTGTTATACCCAGGGTGGGATATGTTCGAAGCATCTGGATGGTCAGGTGGCCATAAATATGGAAAGGGCCACTCGAGGTCCGACGTGGGGGAGGGTGTCTTGAAGCCTCCAGGCACGGATCGAGCATCCAGGGTTGCATTATTCCAACTTCACTAATTGAAGGCTGTAATAAGCATCCAACTCTCTGGATTCCACCTCCTTGGCCTGTCCAGGCTGACAGCCTGAAGGAACATCCAAAAGCACCTCTAAGAGGGGGAAGTTGGTAAACTAAGTTTTAAAACAAAGACTCGGATGAAGGGGCTAGTGAGGGTACTTCTGCAGACAGCAGGCAGCTGGTTCTCGGCCTCAGGACCTCGCAGAAGCGGTAGACTTCCGGCTTCCCTGGTGGTCCAGGGGTTAAGAATCCACCTTCCAACGCAGCGGATACAGGTTTGATCCCTGGTTGGGGAACTAAGATCCCACATACCTTGGGCAACTAAGCCCGCGTGCCACACGGGAGAAGCCCTTGTGCGGCAGGGAAAGATACTGCGTGCCAAGCAAAGATCCTGTGTGCCGCAGCTAAGGTCCCACACAGCCAAGCAAAGATCCTGTGTGCCGCAGCTAAGGTCCGACACAGCCAAGTACACAACTTTTCTTTTTGTTTTTTTTTAAAGAAGGGGTAGATTTCAGGGTGGCTCCTGGGCACACAGAGGGCATGAGTTTGGGACTTGCGTGACTTTAATTTGAAACCTCTCTTATATACTTTCTTGTTGAGACTCGGGACCAGTTTCTCAAGCTCTTTGGGCCTCTGTTTCTTATTCTGGAAAATGGGATAGTACCAACGGCACAAGGATTAAACAGAAACTCCCATTCCGCCTGAGTGCAGGGCCTGGTGCCTTATTAATGGCAGCATCACGTGATCATACAAGAGATGCCTACTGTGTGCCAAGACCTAGCAAACAGTTCCGGGATGCGAAGCTTCTTCGCAGATGGTTTTTGGCACCCCAGGGCTGATACTACAAGGGGACAGAGGGGCAGGGCATGGGTCCCCGCAGGGGGCAGGGTAGAGGACTCCTCTTGCCTCTCATTACCCCGTCAGTTCCCCAAAGCACCCCAGTCAATACAATCCTAAGTAAAACTGTGTGCGTGCTCTCCAACGGCAGTTGAGAAGAGCCTCCTATCCCCTTCCAACCAGACTGCCAGAAGCCTTCCTTCTCTGGATGGAGGCTAGCAGGTACTGACTTCCTTCCTGGGAAGGAAAGAGTTTGGCATTCTGCTTGGACCCCCTCCATCAACAGGTCCTCCAGGATTTTCATTCACTTGACAAATACTGACTTAGCACCCACCTTGGGGTGGGTCCTATGCTAGGCTAACTGAGCATCCGATGGTGAAGAAATGGGAGTTTTCCCAGGGCTTGAGAAATGATGACAGTTGCCATGGCAATGAGGTTGGGAGCCAGGAGCTTGGAGATCCCCCAAATCAGCAGCTCAGATCCTACTTGCTGGCAAAAAGAAGGAACCAAAGAAAACTGGGCCTTGGGGACTGCCTGAAACCCAAACACGGGATCCACTTTTAAAAAATACAAACTTTTACTTTAGAATAGTTTCAGATTTACAAAGAAGTTATGAAGGTAGTAGAGAGTTGCCAAGTACCCCGACCCAATTTGTCTTCTTCACATCTGAAATGTCCATGATACGACATTTCACAAGAAAGGAACCAGCATGGGTAACAGTACTATGAACTGTAAATCCACCATTCATTCAGATTTCTTCCGTTTTTACCTAATGTCCTTTCCCGTTCCAGGATTCCACCCAGGATACTACGTAACATTAAGTCATCGTGTCTGCTTAGGCTCCTCTTGGCTGTGAGCATTTCTCAGATTTTCCTTGTTTTTGATGGAGTCCTGCTCAGGTATTTTGTAAGCTGTCCCTCAGTTGCGGTTTGTTTGAGTGTTTCTCATGCTTCCACTGGGGCTATGGGTTTTGAGAAGACCATGGAGGTAAATGACGTCATTCTCATCACGTCCTCTCAAGGCTGTGCTGTGCACTCAGTCGGTCAGTGGTGTCCAACTCTTCGTGGCCGCATGGACTGTAGCCCACCAAATTCCTCTGTCCATGGGGACTCTCCAGGCAAGAATACTGGAGTGGGTTGCCATACCCTCTTCTAGGGGATCTTCCCAACCCAGGGATCGAACCCAGGTCTCCCACATTGCAGGCAGATTCTTTACCGTCTGAGCCAGCAGGGAAGGCCAGGAATACTGGAGTGGATAGCCTATCCCTTCTCCAAGGGAACTTCCTGACTCAGGAATGGAAGCGGGGTCGCCTGTATTGCAGGAGGATTCTGTACCAGCTGAGCGACCCGGGAAGCCCATCAAGGGTACACGCTATCAACATGGGGGATACTGCTGATGCTGACCTTGATTACCTGGCTGAGGCAGCTTTTGTCAGTTATCCTCCACGGCA